CATACATTGAACCTTCCCCATCAGTGGCCACCCCAGACTGAGGAGGGTCTAAGATGCGGGTCCCCTCGTGTGGGGCGGCCAGGTGGGCTCCGAGGCCCCGTGCCAGCTACTTCCAGTACAAGGGCTTGTCGGCTTATCCCAAGATGCCAAGCACATAGAGCCATTTTCCGTGTGTGGCCTGAAGCACGAGACCCTCCTTTGCAGAGAGACGCGCGATGGGGCACTTTAAATTCCAGAATCAAGAAATCTTTGCCACAGGAAAGTCTCTGGGGTCCTTTTCCCACTATCTCCCCCAGGTTCTGCCTATTTACGGGTATCCCTCACATGTCTCCCACGTGACCGACCTGTACCAGCAAGTGCTGACGAGAACGCCTACCGGAGAGGGCCCACAGATGCCCCAGACCCACGTCTCGAAATGCACTCTCAGTAGTAACCATGCGGGGTGCTCAGAGAAGGGGAGCAGCCGGCAGGCCCCAGGGGAGCAGGGCTGGGGCGAGGGCTGTGCTCTCTCCACCCTCACCTTCTCTCCTCACTCACCTGCTCCTCCTGAACTGCTCGTGCCCCAGGGGCACAAGGGGGGCTCCAGCCCAGCTCTCCTACTGAGGTCCCCGCATGGCTCCAAGCGGCCGCTGCCCCGTGCCCACTCCCAGGTGGCCGAGAAGAGCTTTACTGAGACAGCTCTGTTGGTGCCGGGCATGCTCTTTCTGACAGGCCCGGGTGGCCCGGCTGCAGAGCGGCTGCCCCAGAGAGCCAGGCCCCGTGCCCCAGAGAGCCAGGCCCCGCTCCAGGCCGGTGGAACCGTACCCTCCAGGCTGGGGCTGGGCCACTGGCACGAAAAGCTCCAGGCAGGTCTATCGTAGCTGGAGCTGGAAACCGCGTCCTGCGTCCTGCTCACGTCTCAGCTGCAGCTAAGGCCCCGCTCTCGCTCACAGCCAGCATCTTTCCCTGGAGCTGCTCCAACCTTCCGCGCTCTCCTCTCCTCGGGCTTCCCACCTCCCCACAGACAGGACCCCCACCCCTGCTCGCTCTGCGTTCCCCCCAGAGCCCGGCCCCTCCTGCAGGCTCAGAGCAAACGCAGGGCATTGCTAGCAACACTCTGGAACTTCACCCTCTTCCTCTAGGCCGCCACTGTAGTGCCTCCCTCAATTTCCCTCCCATCAACACAGAAGGGGTTCCCCCTGCCAGGCCTGGCCAGGCCTCTACCCATCACCCCAGCCCCTCTCCCCGCCTCCTTCACCTCTGCACCCCCCTCGGTCTCATAAAGGCGCACTGCTTGCTGTGTTTAGAAGGTGCCCTCCGTCCTGCCTCCCATGTCATTCCCAGCACCGAGCTCCTCAAAGCGGGGCTGCACTCCCCATTTCTGGACGCCCAGGGGAGGAAGGTGCTCTCTCTGCAGTGTGACGGGCTGCCCTTCACAGCCCCAGGCCTGCTCTCATTCTCAGCAACCTCCACCCTGCAGCACCCATGTCCTCTGGCAGCCGCCCCTACCATGGCCAGGTCACCCCCCTAACTTGCAGCAGGCCACTCCCGCCCGGCTGCGCCCACCTCTGTCTTGGTCTCCTTTGCTCCTTCTTCTTCTTCAGCTTCCTCCTGCAGCCTGGGTGCTCTCTAGAGTTCTGTCCCAGCCCTGTCTCCCCACTGTGACTCGCCTGTCCTCGCTGCTGACCCCTGGCTACTGCTGGTGACTCCCCACCCCTGGCTCATCCCAGTTAGAGCCTATACTCGTGCCCGTCTGATGGAACATCTCCCCACATAGCCCACAGGACACCCCAAATTCAATATGAAAACCAGTTCCCTCTGCCTCCCTGACCTTGGTCAATGGCCGAAACCTCCTGCCCAGGTGTTCGGACCCAAACCTCACATCTGACGTTTCCTTTTTTTTTTTGAGAGATTTTTGCTATAAGGGCGCGTGCACTCGCCAGACAGACAGAGAGAGACATAGAGACAGAAAGCGAGAAATCACCCCCCAGGGGGGATGGTCACGCCGCAATCCCTTCTCCTCCATTCTCCTCTCGGGATCTTGGGCACGCACGCACACGCGCCCGGCGTGAGTTTTAAGCCACCGGGTCCAGGACGTGAACCGCGGTCGACTACGTGGGAGTCCAGCGACACAGCCATTACGCTAACTGCTGGTTCCCCGTTTCCATTTGTTTTTAAAGGGCCACCAAGTCAGGTGACACACCTTGCAATTTCCTTTCATTTCTTCTCCTCTCTGTCATTATCTGAATTCAACTGTCACCACCTTTTACTAGACTAGTCCTGAAGCCCCCTGACTAGTCTCCCAGCTCTTGGTCTCTCCTGTTTTGAATAGCCTGCTCTCTCCCCATCTCAAAAAAAAAAAAAAAAAAAAAAAAGGGGTGAACAAAATAAAAAAAAAAAAAAAAAGTCTAACTAAGGAATTTCCTTACTTTAAAGAAAACAAAGGTTCACACGTAACGCTAACGTGGGCGCGTCCAGGCTGTCAGTGTACTCTGGCTTGCACATAACTGTTCTCGGTCTCTGCAGCCAGCCCTGCAGTCACTGGAGAAATGAACACGAGTGGCTCCTGTCCGAAAGCCCCGTCCCTGTCTAGCCACGCTCCCTCTCAGCTCAGCTGAGACGCCCAGGGCACCCCTGGTCTTTCCTCTCTCCCCCCGTTCGTTGCCCAGCTACCTCTGCTCCGTGTACGGCTGAATCTTTTGCACAATGATGTCGGAATCCAGCACCCCCAGGAGGACCCCAATCTGGCGGATGAACATCCCCTTCAGCCTCTCAGTCAGCTGACTGACGTTGACATCCAAGACGACCTCCACCAGGTTGTCTCTCCTGGGATCTGGAAAGCACGTGGATCAGTCATGGCTGGAGAAGCGGGAGCGGAAGCGCGCTCTCTGAGGTTTGCTCTGACCGGAGAGAAAGCAGCGAGGGCACCTGGAGCTCCTCTGGGTGGAAAGGGACCTGGGGCGGGCCTGGAGCGCTCCTGCACAACCCGAGAATTCCCACACGCGGGCTGGGACGGGACTGGAGCACTGAGGCGGGGGGTGGTGAGGGAGCGGGAGAGAAACACTCCAGCATTTGCTCAGAAGCCTCTGCCTGGTGGCACTGGTGAGCTCTCCCTCCTCGACACTGAGGCTGCATCTGTCCCTACAGGCTCCAAGACGGTAAGTGTGTGGAAAATCCAGGCAGCCGAGAAACGAGGATTTCCTAGAGCAACTTCAGGGCTGCACTGTTTTTACGACTGGAACAGGGGACCTTGGTGTTCTCTTCCGAGATTGTCCTAAAGCCTGCCCTGCATCTGCACGTGAACGCTGACTGTCAGAACACACCAGGCACGTGCTCGGAAGCAGCACTGGCCCGTTTTGTTGCGATTTCCATGATCCACAGACTATCTGCGATGTGGTTTTAAACAGACAAGAGACTTGAGGGCGTCTCGGCTGTTGTCCTTCTTAGAGGCGGGCAGGGACTGAAGACCTCCCAAGGTCCCTCCCCGCCTGTGACACCCATACATGAGCTTGGCCTGGACAAGGAGTGGGTTCAGAGCTGACGCCTGCCCGTCAGAAGCTCAGAGATCTATGCAGCTCCGCCCCTCAGTTCCTCCCTAGCACCAAAATAGGCTCAACATAAAACCAAAACATGGTTCTATGTGAGAAGGAAATTTTGTACCCAGAAACTACAACGGACCCTAGTTACTTTACTTTCCCTGGACTGTCAGATAAAGCCTGAGGCTCCATTATAAAAATAAGTTGTTTTCTGCATTTGGGTGCTGATGCGGCACTATGACTCAAGCTCTTCCTGCGCTCAGATTCCCAAGCACCCTGAGCCCTCTCTCGCCAGGCGTGTGGAGCGGAGAGAGTGCCGGACCAGGGGCACCAAGGCCTGGCTCTGACACAACTGCTGTGTGACGCTGAGCAAGCCCTGCCCTCTCTGGGTTTTGGTCTCCCCACCTGAGCTGAGTGAGGCTTGGCCTATACTCTTGCCTGGGTTCTTAGAAGTTGTCATGCCATCTGCCCTGTCCACGCTGCGGGGGGGTCTCAGGACGAAGGCCTCGCTTGGCCGGTCCAGCATTCTCGCTCAGTCCGTCACTGCGGGAACTCACCAGGTTTCACCTCCACGGTGGCCCGGTCTGTGTCACTCTCGCCCTTCGCGTCAGTCACTTTTAGGTGAAACGTGTAGGTTCCCTCAACCAGGTTGGAGAGAAAGAGGATGGGGTGATGGTCAGAGTGATTCAGCACCTCCTGCAGGGGCAAAAGCACGGCTAAACTACAGGACAAAACACCACTGCCTCCCGGGAATCCATGGCTGCTCCTGCCGGAACTACCCCACCCAGATGGACTGTTTCAACCTTCGCTGTCCCTGGTCTGCGACAGCACCACAGCCCATACCTGCCGGGGTTGGGGGACAGAAGTCCATTCTGTGCCACCAGGTCACAGATGACCCTGGCAAGTCCACTAACCTCTGTGGATTCCAGGTTTGATGCAAGGGGCCGCCTGCTTAAAACGGATCCTGGAATATCTGGCTTCTCTCCCCACACCCCTTGCGCAGCTCTCCAGCCCCCCCCACTCACCCCTGCGGCTGGGCTCCCCTCGTCTCGCGTCCAGAGGAAGCTGACTATCCCCTTGTCATCCGAGGACTTGGAGCCGTCCAGCTCTGCCGTGTTCGCAGGCAAGGTAATCACCACGTTCCCAGATATCTTGGCTGTGGGCGGCTTGTTCATTTCTAACCAAAGAGAGTCATTGAAGTAATGTGACATTCTGGAAAAAAAGGGACGCTTCTTCATGACGCAAGGGGACAGCAAGAGGAAGGCTGTAGACGGAGAGCCGTTCAAGTGCCTGTCCGGGCCCGAGGCCAGCAGTGCAGTTTGAAAGCCACTGGCGCTGCAGGTCCCGAGGCTCTAGTCCTCCAGAGAGACGCTGCCAGAGTTTCTCACAGCAGCAGGGAGAGTGTGGGCCGCGCCTGTGTTCTCACAGCGCCCTTGTCCCAAGGAAGCCAGGACTCTGCTCTGGAGGCCCAAAGTAGCTTGGAGCCTTGGAGTTTAGGTCTGTCCAGCTGATACCACAAGCTCTCCTTTAAAATACCTTAAGATGGGGAACCAGCAGTTAGCGTAATGGCTATGTCGCTGGACTCCCACGTAGTCGACCGTGGTTTGCGTCCCAGACCCGGTGGCTTAAACCTCACGCCGGGCGCATGTGTGTGTGTGCCCAAGATCCCGAGAGGAGAATGGAGGAGAAGGGATTGCAGCGTGGCCATCCTCCCTGGGGGGTGATTTCTCACTTTCTGTCTCTTTGTCTCTCTCTGTCTGTCTGGCGAGCGCACACGCCCTATAGCAAAAACCTCTCAAAAAAACAAAACAAAACAAAACAAACCCTTAAGATGAACAGCTGAATATCTTTTTGATTCTCCCCTTGGCACTTCACAAGATGAAATGGAGGGCCAGCCAGTGCTCATGGTTACATGAGCTGACCCTACATGGCTGACCACATGGTTCACGCCTCAGATCCGGTAGCTTGAGAAACACGTTGGGCATGTGTGTGTACGTGCCCCAAATCCCAAAGGACGGAGAGATGGAGGATTAGGGAGAGTAGTATTACTATTCCCCATGGGGGGCGATTTCATGCTTTCCCTGTCTCTCTCTCTGTGTCTCTCTCCAGCAAGTGAACGGGCCCTCTGGCAAATGACAAAAAGAGAGCGAGAGGAGAGAGGCCTCTCCTACCCTGGCCCGGCTGAAGCGTTGTTTACAAGATGTGCCTTCGGTTTTTCCTCAGCCTGACACAGCACACCTGCAGCCACTGCACATCGGATGGTCGTCCTACTCTCAGCTATGGCCGTCCCCCAAGGCCTCGCTGGTCACCACGCCTGCAAACCAGAGCCAGGCCAGTCAACCCTGCCTCCAGTGGGCCTTGCAGGCTCACAGGACGCGCCTTGGTGGCTGCAGTGCAGCACGGTCATTCTAAGGCCTGACAGCAGGTGTCACTGTAGCTAGCAGAGAGCCAGAAACCCCAGGTCTTGGCTACACATGGCAAAGAAAAACCCTTCATTCTTTCCCT